AAAAGTCGTTATTATGTTACTATAATAGATCAAAATCATTCATTCTTTTTTAATTTTTTTAATTTTTCAATTTTTTTTTCATTCTTTTTTATTTTATTGGCATAATTGATTTAAAAAACTTGTATGGTTATTTTATTGTCAATTGGATGCATAATTTTTTTTTTTTTTTGAATGGTTGGTTTGATTTCATGATGCTATTTCTGCCACATGTGGAAACTTCCAAATGGTTTGAAATTAAATTCTTGGAGTCTTGATAATTTGTAGTGTTTATTTGGACTGTTTTGATTGGTGGAATATGGATTTAGATTCTTAGGAGGAATTCTATTTAACATGCTAAATTTTTTATTTTTTGACATGTTCGATGAAAGATTTAATTTTTATAAAAATTGGTGGTGGGAAGGGCTGTTTGTAGAGTTTATTTGACTGTTCTTGAATGCAAGCCGTGCTTTTATTATATTATATTATTGGGAATCCCCTCCAATGCAAACAATGCCTTTATTTATCTTCATCCCATCGTATATCTAAATGCTTACATGGTTTTCCTTTATTCTGAGAATGAATTTATTATAACCTGATAGTACGAACTTGATTGTACTGATATTGTATGTGATGTCATTTATCTCTTTGTTTAGTTTAGCTACTTGTTTATTCTAAGATTTATATGGCAGTGTTTGTGAAATATATGTGAAATCTTATTCGTTGTTTAGACTTGATTTCTATCCATTGTGAAGTGATTGATGGCTTGTTTAAATTTCTTTTTAACATTCTAATGAATCTTTTATCCTTGATTATTGTCACCCTTTAGGTCATTTGGCTGTTTAAATCATGTGGCTTGAGAGGCATGGGAAATTGGTCCTTTTATTCTGCTCTTTCTCCTTCCCTGTTTCATTCTTTACTTGTTTTGCATTCAACACGTATGCCACCGGATGGCAACATCAGAGGTAACATTTTAGCGCAGTCATAAGAAAGCAACCTTTAGGCTCTGCTTGCTTTGAAGGAATTTAAAGATGGGAAGTAGAAAGTAAATGGAAAAGGAATTTAATTGAGATTGGTTTTTTACCAATTTGAAGGAGAAACTCCCTGGAGATGTTTTATCTTCTCAAGTGTCAGATGCTTCTGAGTTTAGGGTTGAAATACAACTAAATGATGCAATAAATGAAGATCACACAAATTAATATGGTGTTTGCAGTTTATAAAACCATTAATTAAAGTATGAATTAATCTTCATTTGATGTAAATCAAATAGATGAGAAATTTACTCCACATAAATATTTAATGACTAATTAAATCAAAGAAATCATCAATAAAAAATTAAATTGCTATAAATTCAACATGAAGTAAATTGCAATGCTGCACAGTACCAGCCTTTTCAAATATATCAAACTACTGCAAGAACAGTTGTAGGCCGCAGAAAAGGCTCGTTTGGCGGGGCGTTTTATTTGCAGAGGCCGCGAATCTGAGCTAAAATCGGGGCATTTTATTTGCGGCAGTCGCAAATCTGAGAGAAAAGCAGGCCGCGGTATCGAACCTGTGGCCCCGCTTCGCTCTCGCGGTCCCTGCTTGGCTCCTTTGGCATTTTACCCAGGTGCCTTTGGCACCCCTTCTATTTGTTGTGATTCCGCCTTTCGTTCGGCTGCGTTTTTGATTCTGCGATCCGCCGTCGACGACGAAGGCTAAGGATGGCTGGAGCCTCAGCCCCTGCTCACTCCTTTCCCACGTCATCGGGAGCCGGAAACGTCGGCTCTGGCCGCTCTTTAGACCCTGCAGTTCTCTGCTCCAATCTGCCGCTGCCCATCTACCTCTCACCCGACCAGCTAAAACAGTGCTCCGAGGCCCTAGCCCCATTCAAGAGGAAGCTCCTAATTCCGGGTAAGATTGCCCAAGAATTTGATCTTTTCCAGGTCCTCTTTTTTGGTTTGCCTAGTATTTATGTTCTGGTATATGGCTGTGAGTGTAGCTATCCGCCATGTTTTTAATCATATGAATTTTTATTAGAAATGCGTCAACATAGGGCAGAAAAAGAGAAAATGCTTACATTTTTTGGCAAGCAATAAGGTTCTATAAGCTTATTCTATTCTGCATTTACTTTAAGGCTAAATTTATTTAGTGCATTGAAGGGGCTGTTTGAAATCAAGTAGGTGCTACAAATAAGGAAGTAGTCAAGCAATGATAACAACTCCTTGGGGAAAATTATTCCGGCGAATAATGAAAGGAGGGATAGGGAGAAAAAGCATAGGAATTAGGTAGAAGCTGCAGCTACGCCAAACAGACCCTAAGGGAGGTTGAGTAAGATTACATCAAAATTTGAATATTATTTTAATATGGTATCATCATAAATCAAATTTATTATTATATACTCACTCTCTCTTTGATAAGTAATGCATTTGAATTGTCTGTCTATATATGCAATATTTGCGAAAGAAAATTGATGTGTGCTGGAGAATTCTAAAGTATTGCTTGCTTGGGAACTTTTGCTAAAGAAAATTGATATATGCAAATATTTGCTAAAGAAGTTTGATGCCTGGAAACTTTTGCTTCTTGCATGCAAATTATATTTTTGTGGAGTTTTGCAAGTTATTATTTATTCATACAACTAGTTTGATAAAATATTGTATGCCTTGTTATTTTAATTAGCTTATTTCATCAAGCAGTGCTTTTCATGTCCTGCTTTGAAGGGGTCTATGGGCTAAATTCATGATAATTTGTATTGCTTGTGCCATCACCAAGGAAATCTTTGTTTCTAAACAAGTGCATCGATTTAGGAAATTGTGGACTCTAAAACATGCAAATGTATGATTAAAGTTAGAGATATTGCTGAGAAGTACATTTTTGGGAATTTGGGTGAGGTCAATCTTTTTTTTTTTTTGGAAAGTTAACTGGCTTATGGAGGAGTTGAATTTCCCTGTCCTGTTTTTTAATTTTCTTGCCAATGGCTGTTTATCTTTGTTTATCTTCCTGGTAAAATATGCCTGGTAAAATATGAAAGGTGCTCATCATATTGCAAACTTGATTCCATACATTTCCAGTTATGATTTGAGTTGGAAATAATCTAGCTTAATTTTGCATTATTTTTTCAGCTGCATTTGATTGATAACTAGAAGTTTCCATCATCGTTTTATTGCAGAACATTTTTATATCAGTCATTAAGCACTTAAATTTATACCACCCAATTCTTTTGTATTTGTATTTATATAACAGGTGTTAGATTTGTAAATTTATTGCTTAGGATTATACCAATTGTGTTCAATATGCTCTTTCTTGTTTATGTATTGTTTACTTTTATCTTTTTTTAAAATATCGGAAATAAAACCATATGGGTGATATAAAGGTATAAAGTTAAGTTTAGGTGTTATATATGTAAAAACATAGGAATTGTAGTCTTTAACATCATCAGATTCAAAAAAACTAATTTTGAAATAGGATGATTTGGGAGAGGATGTTAACACTGATCTGATTCCTTGTGAAACCAATAATAAGTTAACTCGTAGTGATCGGTTCTTCCATCTGAGATTGATATCGATTCAATAAGCAACCGTTCTGAAAAGATCGAACTTGATAATTCCATAGCTATACAGAAGCAATGCATCTTCCATTTGAGAGTGTATGATATAAACAAAATAATTTAAAACTCTTCCAAGTTTTTTTGGCGCCCATTATTTTTCTACTGCAACTTACAAGTTGTGTAATGTTTGGCATAAAAAAACATAAATTGAAGAAATTTTGATGTCGATCGTTAACTGCGTTGTTCTTTGATCCCTTGGTTTAAGTTTGTCAGATCTTTCTGTTTTGATTTGAGTTTGCTTATGAGTACATCAAATCCTTAAAGATATTATAATTTTCATATTTTATGTTTTGATTTGAGTTTGCTTATGAGTACATCAAATCGTTAAAGATATTATAATTTTCATATTTTATTTATAATTTTATTAATTTTATTTCTTTTTCTTTATAGAAATGAATTTCTGTTTCAGAAGTTTCAAAACTGTAGTTGTTACAATATTCTTTTAAACAATTTTACCAAACAGGGTCACCATGGTCATTTTTCCAGAAACAACTGCCCCACAACTGTTTTAACACAGCTGCACCAAACAGACAGTCAGCTTCCCCGTAGCTGCTTCCCCGCAACAGCTTTCTGGGGCAGCGCAGCTGCAGCTGAAAAGTTGAGAATTTGCAGCTGCGCCTAACAGGCCTAAGAAACCATTGCAACTTGCTGCCATAACATTAAACTTTCCAGCCATTTTATCCATTCAACTTTGAACTTCTAATGAACTAAACCAAGATATTGAAATAATCGGTAATAGATCTCATTTACTGTTGTCACATCATCACAATCATATTTAAGCATTTAAATTAAATTAAAATTACGTGGTAAAAATCTAACAAATAATGAAACTAAATGTGTTCAGATTATTGATGTTTCGAATGAGAAATACTTCCAGATCTCCATCATTTGGAAATACTAAAGCTTTTCACTCTGCTTTAGGAATCATAAAATGAAATATCCATATGCTCTAATTTCCTTGTAAAATCAATTTCTTATCCATTACACCCAAACCAACCATTCAGCATGTAATTTTGAGATCAGTAGTATTTTTTTTTTTTCAACTTAATTCTTACCAACAAATCACAACTTTAAGGACATGTAGTGACAACTGCAAAGAGATTGGTCTTTGGTGTAATTTTGTAGAGTACTACAAATCATTCTCTAGGTTGGAGAAGCTTGATGGCGTGTTCAGAAAACTCATCGATGATTTTATGAATTTATATTCTATGTTCGTATATTGTTGCTGATTTTGTTGTAAATCATACATTTTTTACAAGTGCTTAATGTTGTTTTTTTAACTGTTTAATCTTTTCGTTTTCTTCCCCTTTTTTTTTTGAAAATTTATATGCGTGTGCTCACGGGATTATGTGTCACTACCACACCCCTTGATAATAATTGCCATGTAAAATGCTTTCTCTCTCTCATCACTCATCACTCTCTTGACTTCTACTTGCAGGTGCCTTAGTTCTTTGGAAATTTTTTACTTCCAACTGCTTGCAATATGGTAATAAGTTTTTGTAGTCTGAAATTGTGTTGGTGGATATGATAGATCTCTCTTATGGTTTACAAGTTGACTAACCATACATGAACAAGTAGTGAGGTTCATCTTAAGCAGTGCAGCTTACATGTCAATTTTGTGATTATTGCAAAATGGACTGCAATAAAGAGGAAGCTACCAGAGCAAAGGAAATTGCTGAAAGCAAGATGCTCGGCAGGGATTTTGTGGTTGCAAAAAAACTTCTGCTTAAAGCTTTGCAACTTTACCCAGAAATTGAGAATGCATCTCACATGCTTACTGTTTGTGAGGTCCATTGCTCTGCTGGAAACTTAGTAAATGGTCAGACAGACCATTATGGAGTTCTTCAGGTAGAGGCATCAGCTGACGAAGCATTGATCAAGAAGCAATACCGCAGGCTCGCTCTTCTGCTTCATCCGGACAAGAACAAATTTGCCGGTGCAGAAGCTGCCTTTAAGTTTGTTGGCGAAGCATATAAGGTATTGTCCAATCAAGCTGACCGCCAAGTTTATGATGCAAAGAGAAGAGTACAAATGAGGGCTTCATGGCATTCCTCTCAGAATTCTAGAAATGCTAGAAGGTATACAGCTGCTACAGTTAATGTTTCAAATAGTCAATTTAGTGGACTAAGACCTCAGGATCAGCAGCTACCATCTATGTTCTATGCTTCACAATGTTTTTGGACCATGTGTGTTTTCTGTAATAACAGATTCCAATATGCTCGCCCTTGGTTGAATAGAGAGGTCCAATGTCACAAATGCTTCAAGAAATTTTATGCATTTGAAGTGAGTCCTGAAAACATTCCACCTCCTGGTTCAAGTTCTGGGTTCACACGGAGCCACACTGGTACACATGAGATGCCTGTTCCAGGTCAGCGCTCTTATAATCATGGGAGCCAAACTCGTGCATCACAACCTGCAAAACCTGCTGCTACCAAACCTCAACATGGATCTGGAAACAAGGAAGAAAGGCCTGAGCCTTGCGGGGATGGTATGGATAGTAATCAGCAGAAGTCTGAAAATTCTAAACCGGAGAATAAGCCATCAGGTAATGCTCGCCGGATGAGGAGGAATAGGAGGGTTGTAGTAAACTCTACTGACTCAGAATCTGCTGAAAGTGATTCTACTGAAAATAATTCCGCGGATAGTATTTCAGAGGTAGAACCAACTGTGCTTGATGGTGGACCAACAAACAGCAGGTATCCAAGAAGGTCAACACGGTCTAAAACAAATGTCACTTATAGAGAAGCCGAAAGCGAAGATGAGGATTCTGTGCCCCCTCGTAAAAGAATAAGAAAAGTTGGTTCATTTGGCAGTAAAAACCAGGACATCTCATCTCCTGTAGTACCGAATGGTGTGAAGGTGAAAAAAAGTGAGATTCCTATTTCTGAAGATGGGATTAAGCCGGAGCAGAAAGACGAGAATCCTTGTAAAGATAATTTACAAAGGGTGAGTGTTCAAGATAGAGTAATGGAGGAAACAGTTCATAAGAAAGATGAAAAACAAGTTAAAAAAAGTTCAAATTCAACTTCTGCTGTTCCGTCAAGATCCAGAAAGCAGCAAGCTTCTTCTTCCTTCTCTTACCCCGACCCAGAATTTTTTGACTTCGATGAAGAGAGGAATAAAAGTAGATTTGCTGAGAATCAGGTTTGGGCTGTTTATGATGATGACGACGGAATGCCTCGGTATTATGCTCTGATTCAGAAACCTTTTGTTTCAAGCTTCAGGCTGCAGTACATCTGGTTAGAGAACAATCCAACGAGTGCAGCAGAGAAAGCTTGGGTTGCAGCTGGACTTCCAATTTCTTGTGGTAATTTTACTCAAGGAAAGGCCTGTAGTACAAAAAGCCAACAAATGTTCTCACATCTTGTTTTTTCAGAGGATATTAGAAAAGATAGTTACAGTTTCTACCCAAAGAAGGGGGAGGTTTGGGCCCTTTTCAAAGACTGGGATATAGGATGGAGCTCTGCTGTAAACAAGTCCAGAAATTATGAATATGAAATTGTTCAAGTTGTTTCAGATTTTTCATATGGCAAAGACATCACTGTCTGCAATTTGTTCAAAGTGAAAGGATTTCTATACGTGTTTGCGCCGGTTCATGATAAACAAAACACCGTGATACCAGGCGGGCAATTGCTCAAATTCTCTCATTGTATACCTCATTACAGTCTCCGCGAAGAAGGAGAAGGAATTCCAAGAGATTCTTTTGAGCTCGATCCAGCTGCTTTACCGGAGAGCCTGCTGAAGGTCACAGACACGGTTAGTGCTAATTCTGTTGATGATAAACTCGCAGGCTGTGCAGTTAATAGTAGGATCAGAGGCCATTTTAGTGTTAATTCCGAAGATATACTCCATAAATCAGATGACGCAACAGAACAGCACCCTGTGGATCCAGAGAAACCTTGCAATCCTGACAGGAGAAATGAAACTACAGGTTCTTGTAGCTTAGGTGTAGAAAGTAATGAAGATGATGAAGAAGACTCCAGCTTTAATGGAGAAGAGCGAAAAAATTCAGAATTTCATAATCTGAGATCAGAGGACAAGTTTGCGAAAGGTCAGATTTGGGCACTTTATAGTGAAATAGTTGAGTTTCCTAACTACTATGCTTGGATAAAAAAAGTTGAATGGGAAGAGGCCGGCTTTGTTATTATTAAGTGGCTTGAACACTCACCAGAGACACAATACGAGAAATTGTGGTCAAAAAATGGCCTTCCTTTCGGCTGCGGAACATTCAAAGTTTCGTTGGGCACCGAACGGTTCTATACGACCGATGCGTTCTCTCATGTGGTTCACGCGAAATCGATCAAGAAAAACGATTTGTATGAGATATATCCAAGCAGTGGTGAGGTTTGGGCTTTATATAAGAATTGGAGCCTTATGTTGACTTCCAAAGATATAGGAAATGCTGCTGATTACTCGCTTGTGGAGATCATCCAACGGAATGAATCTGTAATAAGAGCAGCGAGCTTGACTAAAGTCGAAGGTTACGAGAATTTTTTTACTGCTGAAACCGGCGGCTTGGCCGATGTCAAGATACCGATAAAAGAATGGCTGAGATTCTCTCATCTGATACCGGCATTTCGACGAACTATCAAGGAATCTGGGAAGCAGAAGGAGTGTTGGGAGCTCGATCCCGACTCAATTCCAAAGATATTGTTGAGTTAGGAACCCCTCTTGAGTTTTATTTTACACTGTGCACTACTCACTAGCAGGGAAGAGGCGCAGGGCTGGAGAATGAAGAAGATGACCAGGTTTTTTTTTTTTTTTTTTAAAGTGTTGTGGTGGGCCTTATGATTATTATAAAATTGAGCTTCTTGTTCTTATTCTCAGGGTGACAAGCTTTCTGGCACCTTCTGCACCAGTTTTGAATCTGGAAGCAGCTGCCTGGCCTTTTTGCCTTGATATTATGATGCAGCTTTCAGATTTAACAAAATGTTGAAATTAAGAGCTATTAGTCATCTATGTAGCTTTCTTTTTCCTTTTTGGGGGAGGTTTGATGATTTGGCACTCATGCCTTCCAAGTATTTTCCATGTATATTATTATTAAATACTCCAAACATAACTCTCTACTGCTCCTTTGCTTTTTTTTTTTAAGATTCTAATTCTAATCCTAATCCTAATCTTCTGATTAATATTGGGCAGAGTAGTAATTGCAAGCAAGTGATTTATGATTCACTCTTCACTGAATATTTTATCATAATTGTTATAATTATTATGTTTTTTTTATCCTAATTTTCAGATTCTTTAGCCTTTTCATATTTTGATAGTTCTTTTAATTTCTAATATCTTATATTTTAAATAGTCTATTTTAATTTTTAAATAGTTTTTATAAGTATATTCTAATATAATTTATTAAGTAAATATTCATTAATAATGATGTGAAAAGTATGTAAGTGAGAACTTAGTGATAGCAAAATGGTTTTAAGTTTTGGCTTAAAGAAGCTGAAATCGAATAATTAAATTATAGTTGAATTTTTTGGGAAAGTAGTTTAAAGATCAAATTGCACTTGTTTTTTTAATTAAATAAAGTATATAAGTGAAAAAAATTAGTAAGCACCAAATTATTACATTGGTAGTCATCAAGGCATTTTGGATGCATGTTGAATGGCTTATGATAGACGCGTTTTGGAATTTTAGCCTAAATAACATTAAAATAATTATTAAAAAAATCTCATTTTTTATTTGATGGAGATGCAAATTTTGAAATTATAGAGATTGAATATCCAATGAAATTTGAAACTCGGTTTAGACAACATATTACGTCCGGAATCCGGATGCAAGCTATGTCCGTCCGGACAATGTTTGTGATCTATCAAATGTCTTTTTTTTTTTTCTTCTTTGTTCTTTCTGGTGGATCGCAACCGTTGTCCTGACGTAGCTTGCATCTGAACTACGGACGTAATATTTTTTTCAGTCTGACAGTTCATATTGGTCAATCAATTATTGTTTTTCATTATTTATTTACTCAAGTTTGCTATAAATTAAAAAAATATAAATTAAAAAAAAAATTGCAACGTCTCAAGATTATTATGATTCCAAAAAAAATTGATCTTTAAAGAGATTTATGTTGATATTTTATTTAATTTTTTTTGTAGATTTAGACAAGATAATTTTTTTTTAATAAATTTAAATGATATTCACACGTTTAACGTATTTATTTTTAAGAAAATAACTTCTTTTTATCTTATTATTTAGATTTATCGCCAAAATCTCTACGTATTTACATATCTAACACTCAGCCTTTCATATCACATCCAAATTACAATAAAGTCAACTAGATCTTTTTCATCCATATGTAAGTGGCATTTATTTGACACTTGAAGCTTAGGTGTTAGATGTGTAAATACATAAAATTAATTGGTATCTAAAGAAAAATTACCGAGTATTTAATTTGGTGAGTGTTGAGAAAAATTATTAATACAGACGGCGTATGCAAAGCTGCATGCGTCATCTGATCTCCACCGTTGATCAAAACTTTTATCAATTTTTTTTTTTTAAATGGGCCCACCGAAATACAATTTTGCCCCGATCAATGGATCTAACACTCAGCCTTTCATATCACATCCAAATTATCAATTTGATATAGAGATTGGACAACACATGCATCTCTGCATACGCCGTCCGTATGAAATAATTGGGGAACAAAAAATAAGAATTGATTGGGAGTGACACAATTTTTTTTTTAAACATATCTTATCAGCAACTAAGAGATATTTTAAAAAATATGTAATTTATTAAACTAATTATATAATAATTGTAAATTTAACAATTTAGATTAAAAAAATAAATTCATTTAAATTGATATATTTTAAATGAATATGAATTATTAATTCTACATTAATTGTATTTATGCAAATTAAGGTTAATCATCACAAGTTAACATCTTAATTACTCAATAATTACTAACTTATAAAACTAATTAAGTATTGGAAAATTTACATATGTACCAGATAATTTCTTTGAATTTACATATTTAGTGCCTAATATTTGATATTTACATTTATCACATTTTGGTTTCACAAATTTATGCATGAAAAAGGTGTATTGAATATAATCAAAATAAAGCATAAATATAATTTTTTAATGGAAAATTAATATGATTAGATAATTATTATCAATAATTACCATATAATATACATAATTAACAAAAAAAAACTAGTTTTAAAAAGTGCCATAAATACCAAACAATTGAACTTTACTTTTTACATTTATACCCCCACAAAATTTTCATGTAAAACTATTATTATTAATTTTTTTAAAAGTGAAATACCAATTTTCTCTGTGAAAAACGACAACAATAAAGCAAAAAATGGAATGAGAAAAAATTGCACGTAGAAAAAACACTAGAGCGACAAAAAAATTTAAATTACGTGGTTCGGCAAATTTGCCTACGTCCACGGAGCTGTAGAGGATTTATTTCTTCGAGGAATTATATCGTCGAGGAATTTCACCGTCGAGCGCCTCGAAGTTTACAAGAAAATCTATATTTTCTTCTATCCCTTCCTCTCTCTCTCTCTTCCCTCTCTCTCTCTTCCTCTCTTTCTCTTAGCTCTCAAGATTACTTGGCTTGGTCTTGCTTGGCTTGCATTTTCTTTAAAGCAAAAAAGACTATTTATAAAAACCATGAGAGTGGTAGGTGAGATAATTAATTAAGAAGCTAATTAAATTCGACGGACCTGATCTCCACATTACCCAAAATTTTCACGCTTAGAAATTATGATGTGCGTGCACATATATATATACATATATTGAAGTTGAGGTGATAGATATATAATTAAATAAAATTAAGTGGTATATATGAAAATCTTCCTATTTTAAAAAGAGAACTTTACTTACGTAGCAAAAAAATATTATCTATTTTCATATTTCATATCTAAACTTGTATATTTCCATATATAACACTTTGATGCTTTAAATTCGTGATAATAGTGTTATTTTTTATATGATATTAAAGCTTTGAGTGATATGTGTGTAAATTTAGATAGGAAATATGTAAATACAAAAACAAATATGCTACGTATGTAAATGTCCCCAATTTTAAAAGAGAAATTTACATACATAGCACTAAATTCTTTCTATAATTATATAGTTTAGGGTTTATTAAGTGCAGCTTGTGTGTTTCAGGATAAACAGTTTATTCTCAAACGTGGTCTGCGGGTCCACCGCGGGGATCGACCCACAACTTGAGTTTAATGAAAAAAAACTCAATCGAGACAGACATAGTTTTCAAAAACGCAAACCAAACGGTTATGCGACATTTTTAAAAAACGTTGCCGCATTTATCAGCTGCCCCAAACAGGCCCTTAAACTTTCATTTTACACACACAACACTTTGGTGCTTTCTACATATACACGAAGAGGTGCATTTCACTCTTAACACGTGCTTATAGTGTTGTGTGTGTAAATAAAAAAGTTTAGATATGAAATATGTAAATACAAAAAACAACTGTGCTATCTATGTAAATTACCTAATTTTAAAAATGGGGAATCATAAATACATAATTCATAAAAAACCCTCGTCTTCCTCCCCAAAAATTCCCGGCCTTCAAAATCCTCGACAGGAAGGGAGCGAAGCGCGCGATTCGCGGCGCTGTGAGCTCGCGGGAGGAAGCATGGCGCTTCACCAGCGGCGTGTGGAGGAGATGAGAGACCTCATGCGAGACTTGCGGATTTAACTTCATCTATATCTCCAACCACCGGATTTAAGATTCTTTCAGGTGAAACGGGATTGATTATTCTGACTTTACTCTTTGGCCTGCTCAAATACTGCTTGTAAACAGCACCTAGGGTTTTAATCCTGAAAGCAATCCAATCGAGTTCGGTTCAAATAAGACAGGTGAAGAGATATCAGGCTGTCGGCATATTTTTCTCCGAGAGGCAAAAATGGAGGTAAGAAGTCGTGCTCCGGGGAAGATTATCCTCGCCGGGGAACATGCCGTCGTTCATGGATCTACCGCCATTGCTGCGGCTATTGATCTATATACCCACGTGCTATTCCGGCTGCCGCCGCCTTCAGGTTCGCTTCTATTCATGTCCTCTGATTGCGATCTGTGTAGTTTTTAGTTTCTACAATAAATATGGATTACAACTAGTCTGTTAAGGAAGACGAATCTAGATTGATTTTACTTGTGATTGGAGTTTATGATTGATTTTAGCCTAAAAATTATGTTAAAGGTTTTTCTTTTTTTTTTTCTTTTTTGCTTTTGGTGAACCACTATTGATTATTGGTACTCAGCACAAATCCTCTAATCCTTCCTCTATTTTATTTTATTTTATTTTCATTTATTTCATTCTTTTATCTGCAAAAGCATGAACATTTTCTCTTACAGAATAATCTTATCGTTGATGGTCATGCAATTCCAATCTAATCACAATTTTTCCATTTCCATTAGAGAAGTTGAGCATGATGAGAAGTAGAAAACGCAATTAGGAAACAAGCATCGGTTCTTTTATATATATACAAATTTTATTAAAGAAAAAATTCAGAGAACTGTTGATCCTTTAAACAATGATGATATAATCTATTTGATATTTTTTGCATCCATTGATGATTTGAGGACTTAATTGTCAACAAGCTAGTCACTTTTTCGATTAAAAACTCATCAAAAAAATTAGCTTTTTAGCTGTTTCAAAACCATTAGCTTTCCTAAATTTGCAACTTGTATGAACAGCATTAGTGAAAGTTCATGTTTTTAATATAGGAGTATCCTTCTGTTGTATGTGCATAGATGTTTTTTTCATAAAAATACAGTGTAGTTACATTTTTTAGACTTAATTTCTCCTAAATGGAACTCATTTTCAATATGGTGATGAGTACATATTTTTAGGATATCAATGCTTCTTGTACTATTGTATGATGGTTTATAGATTAAATTTTTTTTTAAATTCTGTCTCTTTGTCTTTATTATAGTTTAAAACGAAAATTATTATTATAAATTAATATGTTTCCAAATTTAATCTTTTTGTTTATCAGAGAACCAAGTATCAGTTGAGCTTGAGCTCAAAGATATGGGTCTAGTGTTTTCTTGGCCCTCTCAAAGATTAGAAGAAGCATTTAGCACAATAGACACCCTTCCTCCGATCCTACAACCATGTTCCGAAGATCGTTTGGAGCTTATTTTGAGTCTAGTAAAGGAGAAGAGCATCCCCGAAGATAAGCTTTGGCTCTCTTCAGGAATTTGTGCTTTTCTTTATCTATACACCTCAATTCATGGGTATGTGTGTAAATTTGCTTAAAGCTTTTTCATTTAATCCTCTTGTTGATGTTAGTTGGTAGATTTACATACATACCGCTCAATTCAATGTATTTACATATCTAAAATCTATACTTCAATTTTTACATGCATAATATCTTACATGCCAATGAAAAGGTTTATTTCACTTTTTAAAAGTTAAAAGGTGGTATTTTTTTATGTGCTGTGAAAGATTTGGGAGGAATAAATTTAAAAAGGAAAGTTTAGGTGTTAGATATGTAAATATATAGGAATTGGGTGGTATTATATAAGTTCTAAATTTTGGAGGCTTTTTTATATTTTGTTCTTAAAGGTACAAGCCTGCAACAGTGGCTATTACTTCTGAGCTTCCTTTAGGTTCTGGTTTGGGATCATCGGCCTCATTCTGCGTTGCACTAGCATCAGCTTTTCTTTCGCTCACCACTGCAGTTTCGGTCAATGGGGAGAGAAGTGGTTGGTTAACTTTATCGGCCAGTAATCTAGATCTGGTGAACAAATGGGCATTTGAAGGTGAGAAGATTTTACATGGGAAGCCATCTGGCATCGACAACACCGTAAGCACACTCGGTAGGTTTACTTGACTCGAGCATATTCAACTTTGTTTTGTATTTCAGTGCAATTCCTTTTTTTCTCTTTGGTTTTTCTACAAAATTCTTTATGTTTTTGAAGGAAACTCATGCATGCTTTTAGCTTTTGTTCTTCATGCTGATGTTATGTGTTTTTTATAGAATATTCTATTTTTGAAATGAGTGTTATTTTTTGTAAATGTTTAAAACGTATTTTACGTTCCTCTTTGAAATTGATTATAGGAGTTCATTCCTGCAATTTTGAGTTGTTCCGCGACTTTCTCAGAAGTTAAGGGCTTGTTTGTAATCACTTTTGTTTTTGTTTTTTTTTGTATTGATTTTTAAAACGTTTTTGTTTATAGTGTTTTTGCATGTTTTTATTCTTTTGTTTTCAAAAGCAATTAGTTTGATTTTAAAAACACTTAAAACATCTATATTTTTTATAAAGTTTCAAACATGTTTAATTTCAAGTAAAATCATAAACAAAACGAAATTAAAATAAAAAATAAAAAATGAAAACTAAAATTGATCTCAAACAAACCCTTAGGCCAAACATGTATTAAAAAAATATATATAAAGTTGAAAATAAAATGATGCCAAACGAGGCCTTAGATTTTGTTCTTCATGATGATATTTAATTTTGTGTGTTTTTTATATGATATTCAATTTTTGAAATGTCTATTATTTTTCGTAAATGTTTAAAATGTATTTTTGGTCATTTACATACATACCACTCAATTTAAGTGTATTTATATATCTAACACCTAAAATTTTATATTTACATTTGGAAAACTCAATTTTTTAACATCACATAAAAATACTACTATTTCTAACTTTTAAAAGTGAAAACACACCTTTCCCGGCATAATTTTTTATGCCAAAGTATTATAAATGTAAATATCGAACTTTAGGGGTTAAATTTGTGAATACATAAGAATTTTGTGGTATGTAAATTTCCCATGTATTTTATGTTCCTGTTTGAACTACATAAGAATTGGGAGTATGTTACTCCATGAGTTCTCAAAAGTTAAGAGTTTGGAGTGAATTTGAATGAGTTCAACTCGCAGGAAGCTTAATCATGTTTAAATCGGGCGAGTTAACTCAACTGCAATCTACCACGCCTCTGAGGATGCTTATTACCAACACAAAGGTTACGAGAAACACCAAAGCGTTGGTTGCGGGCGTTGCGGAAAAAGCTTCTCGGCATCCTGGCGTCATACATGCTATTTTTACAGCTATTGATTTTATAAGCAAAGAATTAGCAACTATAATCGAAACACCAGCGATTGGTGACATCTCTATCAGAGCAAGGGAGAAGCTAATAGAAGAACTCATGGAGATGAATCAAGGTTTACTTCAAATCATAAAAGTGAGCCATGATTCCATCGAAAAGGTGCTGCAAACGACAGCAAAGTATAAGCTGGCTTCGAAATTGACCGGTGCTGGTGGCGGAGGTTGTGTCTTGACTTTGTTGCCAACATGTATCCTCATTGGTATTTCCGTAAAATTGTGCTTTTTTTTTAAAACTCATTGGTATTTCCGTAAAATTGTGCTTTTTTTTTTCTAAAGGAAGATTTACATGCATACCATTCAATTCTCATGTATTTACACAACTAACACCTAAACTTGATTTTTTTACATATATATGTCATCTTATCCATGCTTTAAAATGTTTGTTTCTCTTTTTAAAAGTTATAGTAGTGGTATTTTTTACTGTGATATGAAAGACTTGGGTGGTATAGATGCACAAACGGTAAAGTTTAGCTGGTAGAAATGTAAATGCATAGGAATTGGGTGGTATGTATGTACAAAATTATTACTCTGCTGGCTAATATAGTCCCATGCATTATACTTTCCACCACTCTAGTTGTCCTCCTAATTACTTTCATTGGCTCCTTCATGCAAAGAAAACAAACTAATTTTTTGTTCATGGAAAGCATACTTTATGAATATTTTTCCTAATTGTTGTTTCTGTAATCAATTATGTAATAGGCTGTGGCTTAAAGTATTAGTTGTTAGGGACATTTAGATGCACACCACACATTTCTCATGTATTTACACATCTAACACCCAAAGATTCATGTCTACATGCATACTACTCAAATCCTCAATATCACAACAAAAACAACACCTTTTCATGCATAGGTTTTTATACAAAGATGTTATAAGTGTAAATATTAAATTTTGGGTGTTAGATATCTAAATAAATAAGAATTTTGTGGTATGTATGTAGATTTCCATAGGAATATGATATAAAATATCACATTATTTGCCAATATTAGTTACTTTATTGACAAAGGTTCCTTAGGGCCTCTAATCTACTTCTTTTAGGAAGATTTACTAATGTACCACACAATTCCTGTTTATTTACACATCTATCATTTACATTTATTTTACAATTTATTGTCACAATTTTTTTAGAATTTATTTTTCAAAAATTTTTTTCACAATCAGATCTGTTAAGAGTGTTAAAACCTATATAAATTCTTCTGTATTTGCACGTCTGACACCTAAACTTTCATATTTTCATACATATGTCTGAGATATGTAAATACATAAGAAGTATGTGCTGTTTATGTAAACAACATATTTGCAAATGAAATTATTCAGAATTGATTAGTTACTTAACCAAAGATCAGCAATATCCAACACAGTTGTAGAGAAGGTTGTTGCAGAGCTTGAAGCACTGGGATTCCAATGCCTGAAGGCTGAAGTTGGCGGAAATGGCGTACAAGTCTGCTTTGGTTGAGCTGATTATGGGCAGCCATTAGAACACTAATTCTCCTTTATTGCAAATGAGGAGATTATATGAAAACATTTAGTTGATTCCATGTAATTTTCTTTTTTATTCATAAATTCTTTTCTTTTGCACTTTTTATTTCCTTTTTTTGGGGTGCTGCAATAATGCTTAAATTGCTGATTTTTAAATATTTATTACATGTCATTTTCTTCCCATATATGTGTGTGTGTGTGTTTACATACATATCACACAATTCTGATGTATTGGCATATCAAATACCTAACTTTCATGTCTACATGTAGGAAGATTTGCATAAATGTCACCCAAATCTTATGTATTTACATATCTAACAACTAAAACTTCAATTTTTACATATCTACTGCCTTGCATATGCCTGAAAAGATGTATTGCACTTCTTATAAGCTAAAAATAGTGATATTTTTTATGTGTATGAAATATTTGGGTGGTATAAATGCAAAAACTAAAATTTCGGTGCGTATGAAATATTTGGGTGGTATAAATGCAAAAACTAAAATTTAGGTGCTGTAAATACATGGGAAATGAGTGGTATGTGTGTAAATACCTCTATGATACTTTCATGTCATGAAACTACGAAATGAATCGGCCGGCCGAACCAAGAAAGGTCGGTCGATTGGAAAGACGAATGGTTCACAACAACGATAGGTTGTTAAGCTCTATACCGACAGCAAATCTTAGTTCAACACTTATATGTTTATGTGTTCTTATATTTACATTATTAACCTTATGCAACTTCTAAAAATGTATTATTAGCATAGGATGTTGAATTATTATGTAAAAATAAATATAAAATTTTAATTATTGAATATATAAGATATATGCTCGCACATACTTTTTTTCCCCTTCATATGTCACATTAGCATATCTTTTTCGTGATATATTATATGCTTATCTCTAAAAAAAACATGCCGCATTTTTTTTTATAACATTTAACAAATATAAGGTCATAAACCATAAGTAATAATTAAAGATAAGTCATGCCCTATCCTAATTGGGTTAGCCTAATTTATGTAGCTATTCATGAGCCAACTCGTTCCCATGATGATCTAAACGAGTCAATCCCGAAAGACTCGCTTATGCTTTAATGAGCTAATTAGATTTAGGTGACTCGTGAGCTTGATTTGTTTGTACTGTGATTCAACCGATTAAGGGTCTGTTGTGGGAAGTAGTAGCTGTTTGAAAAAATAATTGTGAAGCTGCTGAAGAAAAAATTATTATGCAAAAAGTTATGGTGACTATTATGATTTTCTTTTTTCTAAAGGTGAGATCACAGCTTTCTATTAGCCACTACATGTAGTTAAGTATTGTGGGAAAACACAATTTTTAATTGCATATTTTTGAATACACAGATAAAATGCAGTATTATCAAGTTGGGAAAACTATAGTGCGGCTGCGGTGTGACACTGCACTGCCTCCCCAAATGCACCCTGAGTCACCCAAACTCATTTTACTCCAATTATGCCGCCTAAAGGCTCTTTTAACCTAACCCAATTGAGTTAGATTAATCGAGTCTAATATCATCAACTAATCCCCATAATTTTCTTCTTAAACTAATCTAATCTATCTTTGATTTTAATGTAAATAATCTAAATTTGTCCAACTAGTTCATTAAGTCCAAAAAGATAAACCAATCTTTTGATGTGATTTAATTGTGCTTTTTCTAGATAATATACTTTATTATGACAAGTTTTTTTAAATATTATTAGATAACATTAAATAATGAATTAAATTAACACCATGCTACTCAAATTCTATATTTTTTTATTATTCATCAGTTATTCAATAAACTAAAGCCACGTCCGTCTGGATCTGATATTGTCATTTGTGGCTTAAAACAGTGAAAAATTATTGTTACTTTGAAATAACTTCGGAAAACGTCGTTTTACCCAATCAGGTTAACCTGAACCTGACCCAAAATAATAAACGAGTCAAATTCTCTAACCATAGCCCGACTCAAAACATATTCGGGTCAACACCAATCCGGATTTTTTGAGTCGTTGTGACATATCATTTCAATTTTTGAAACTTAGGGATGTCAATTTTGGCCAACATGTCAATTTCGGGTCCAACACGAAAATAACCTGGTCAGAATCGGGTCCACCCAAACTCGACCCGAATAATAAATGAGTTTTATTATTTGACTCGAACCCAACTCGAAAAATATTTGGGTCAACCCTAACCCGAATTTTTCGAGTTTGAGTTCGAGTCATGTTGGCGTATCGGGTCAAATTTTGTCACTTAGGGATGTCAATTTGGGTATGTGAGCAAAGTTTGGGCCTGACCCGAATAATAAACAGGTTGAATTCTCTAACCCGAAGTTGACTCGAAAAATATTCGGGATAACCTTAACCCACATTTTTCAAGTCGAGTTCAAGTCGTGTTGACGTGTCGGGTCAATCTTTGACACCCCTAGTTTCACCAAACGAAAGCGAATCCATGTATCGACATTCTTGAAACGAAACAAAACTTCACTTCCTTCTTAAATGATATCTAAAACTTCGTTTGAAGTAGCTTCGTCGTTCAACAAAATTCTTTTAACAAGTACATTGACGAATAACTTTAGGAGACGTTCGGCAAAAGCTATTTCACCAAAAAGCAAAACTCACAACTTCCGACCCCTACCAAACCGTCGTCAACCCGAAGACCGGTTCATAAACACACGCGGTCCACGCGGTCTAAAACGGCGGCTTGAACCCATTTCCGGTCATCTCTCTCTTTCCACATCAATTCCTTCTGTACAAATGGCAACAGAACAAGAGAGAGAGAAAAAGAAAACAGAGAAATGGATCAGACCGCGTTCTTCATCCTCATCGCCATTAAAATCCCCATTCCAGGCATCAACCAAATGCGTTCTTCGACAGATCAATTCAAATGAACGCAGGTGCAGGGCTCGTTAACCCTAGCCACCATCTCCGCCGTACTCCGGTGAGAAAAGGTTCACGGATCCGCCGCCGCCGCCGTGCGCCGATCGATACTTACCCGCCGATTCGAGATTTTTACGCCGGATCTGTATTCTCGCTGTCGTCTCCGGCACCGAGCTCGCTGCCGATGCCGAGACTGATCTTCAGTAACAAAATAGGGTCGCCGGCGACGCCATTTTCCGGCGATTCGGCTTCTCGGGGCCTCCGGCGGCTTCTTGGACTGGAAAGTTGAAGAAGAGGATGGGATTTATGGCGATTATGGAATCCCGATTGTGAATTGTGGGAGCGGGAGAGGGAGATTATGGGGATTTGGGGGAGATGAGATTAATTGATCCATAGATTAGGAGAGGAGGAGGAGGAAGACTGTTAAGAGTTGTTGTAAGTAAGGCCTTCTTCCCTTGTTGTGTAATCATAGATTGTATTACAAATGTGATGGAAATAATAATATTTTGTTAATTAAATAGGATTTAGAATGATGAATTAGGTGTTTGGCTTCAATTTGGATTTAAGTTAAATAGAATTTAGTAAATTGATATTAAATTCATAATTATTTTTAAATCTCATTACATTCTTCTAATGTGTTTGGGGAATTTGGTGAGTGATGATATGAGGTACCTCATAAAATCCCTTAAATTCATCTCTTTCTATGTTCAAAATTTTTTACTTAGGGGTGCGTTGGATTTACGTCCCCTAGTTTTTTTAAATTTGGCTGGATTTACATTAAATACGCCTAAATCTGGCCTTAAATCATTCTACCAAACACCCCTTTAGTGTAGCTAAATCTACCATATATGCAATTATACATGTTTTAAATATTGGATCATAAATTGTTTATGAACTCGCACTATCTATACGAAAAAAATCTAGAGAGAAAATGAGTGCAAGAGAAAACGATGGATAAGCCCTCTTTGATTGTGTAACATGTGTCTAAATCTAGACCCCTAGTTATAGATATCGATTGACCTTCATTGTGTTTGACGCCTTAAAACAAATTTCCGACATTCAACACGAATCTTGAGGCATGAAACAAATCTTGATGTGATTTTTGAGAAAGAAATATTTAAAATTTGATTAAAAGTCCTTCAGAATTTTTGATTTCAACAAACTCATAAGCAAACTGATCAGCTCAACGAGATGAACTGAACGATACCAAAATTTATTCTCGAGTTAAATTAAGCTCAGATCAAACCGTTAAACCTCTTTTGAAATTTTTCTTGGTATAATTGAAAGATCAAACAAATTTAAAATATTTTATGCTTATAATCAAATTGAGCGACTCGACAAGACGAATCAATGAGTCAATGATTGTTCAATTCTGACATCATTAATACATTAAAATGTACATTGAATGTCATTTGATCAGGGGATCTTTATTGGTTGTTCGATCAAGAGTGATTTTTTATTTGTAATCTAGACTCTATAAATTAAGTCATACTTCCTCGTGAGAAGGGGAACTAGACCCTGGGCAAGATAAAGACCAGAGACGACAAAAAGAGGAAGCTGCACCCTTGACGTGCAGTGTGGCCTCTACAACCTATAGATGTCATTGCAACTCATCATTACGACCCATGTAACCAATTGTGACCTATGTGGCTCACATTTATAATAGCTTCTTATTGCAACATCTTTGGCCAACTAGGCTCCTACACAACCATCTTCTACCATGACTTTCAACCACGTCCTTTACGACAAGCTAGCACTACGACCACCGTCAACAACATTCATGACGGGCTACTGTCTTCTTAACAATCGATTACGACCTTTCACATATTGCTATCACAGAGAACTATAATATTTACTCTTTCACTATGATTATTATCAATGAATTAGTGTTGTGTATTTACAATGATCATCTTTGCAGCTCAATCTACCCTAATATAGGAGAGTAGTTGACCCATGTACTCCAAATCATAGTGAATTATTTCAACTGGGCTAGGCCTACTGTTTTTTCCCCCTTTAGGATTTTCAACATAAAAATTGAGGTTTCCTCTCATGCTTACTTCAATTTAACTACCTTGAGTTTGTGATGACTTTTCGTACAATGCTAAGACATAATTTCAGCACTAACATCACGAATTTCCTAGCACGCATCAATGTTGTGTAATAAGTTCCATAAATAAAAAAAATGAAATAGAATGATTATGTTGTGAGTTATGTGTATTGAGAGGGCATTGAGCTAGGAGCCTAATTTCGAATGGACGAGTGTTATTCACCACATGTCAATTTTACTGAGAACTCATCATGTATAAATGTCAAGTTTTGTCTAGCCTTCGCGCAGGTAAATTCACCGCTCTCCATTATCAATAACATGTAGTAGCAAAAACACGTGCTGCTTTCGAGTTCGACAATGAGTACCAAACCAAAAACACGTGCTGCTTTCGAGTTCGACAATGATTACCAAACCGTTGAGTAGTAAATGAAAAAAAAGGCTAAAAGTTCTGATTTTTTTTATATGACGTCAAATTCTTGTGCATTTCAAATCCATCAATTAGTTAAAAATAATGTATTGAAGTATGTTGCGTTAAAATCATTAAAATTCCTATATATATATATATGATGAATGACCAGAGGCTATTAGACGAGCCCTGACTATCCCTAAATGTGTTAAATATTCGAGTACCACACTCTACACATAGAGAAAAAATTGCGTACGTAACAAGTACGCAGGGCCACATACATTTAGGTGTTATAAGGACGTTATAGAGACGATATATAAAGGTTACATCTGTGTTATACCCATGTAATCTTCATATAACCTCTTTGTAACCTCCCTGTAACCTCCTTATAACCCAAATGTACGCAGCGCTGTGTACTTGTTAAATACGCAAATTTTCCTACACATGGAGGTATTCAATCCCATGACTTGAGGTGACTCACGACCTTCAGAGAGACTAATCTACCAACTGACCATAATCAACTGACCATAATACACGCGCGGGCGCTCGCGCACACACACACACACATATATATAATATTCATTTAATCTTAGCCTTCCAAAAATCCTATCAAGCATTTAGAAATCCATAAAAAAATCAAATTTAATTCGAATTAAAATTGCTTTGGAATAAATCCTTTTTCTTTTATCAGAATATCCCAATATTAAAAATTTCCAAAAATATTTCACAAAAAAATTCAACTAAACGAGGCTCTACGGCAGTACTTGTTCAATGCTGTGTCTCCTCACCGACTCTTCGCCGGCCATTCTCCGCGTCCTTCGGAAAGTCGCCGCCGGCTCAGGCTCCCTCCAGCTCGCCAGGAAAGCTCATGCGCGCGCCACCATTCTTGGCCTCCACCATCATCCCCTCATATGTTCGGTGCTCATCTCTGCATACTCCCTTTTCGGCTTACCCTCCCTTTCCCACTTCGTCTTCCTCCACTGTTCCGCCCCCAATATCTTCCTCTGGAACTCTCTGCTCGCTTCCTTCTCAAACAATTCTTGCTGCCTTCAAGTCCTCACCACATTCCACAACTTACGCGTTGATTCCGGCGACTCCCCCGATGGCTACACTCTTGCCATCGTCGCTAAAGCTTTGACAGAGCTTCTGTACTCCAAGAATGGCAGTTCTCTTCATTCTCTTGTTAAAAGGCTCGGTTTTGATTCGGACACTGTGTTGGCTAACACTCTAATGGTTTTATATCTCAGATGCGGCCGTCCAGGTGATGCCCGGCAGTTGTTTGATGAAATTCCTGTTAGGGATGTTGCTTCGTGGAATGTTTTGATATCAGAGCTTGTTAATCTGGATGGTGGTAGAGAATGGGAGCTTGTAAGAGAAATGCAGTTTGAGGGAATAAAGCCTGATGGATTCACCATATCGGCTTTGCTTCCTCTCTGCACTAGAGGAGATTCTGGTGCCATGATTCTTGGCCGACAGATTCATGGCTACATTGTGAGGCAGGGGCTTAGATTCGGTTCAGAGCTTCATGTTGGGAGCTGCCTGATAAGCTTTTACTGCAAAGGTGGGAACTTGACGACCGGGAGGCGTGTATTTGATCACGAGCTCAAAAGAAATGCCTTCACCTGGACAGCCATTATTGCCGGCTATGTAGAAAGCAGAGGGTTTAATGATGCTCTGAGGCTATTCCGCTCAATGAATTATGTTGATAAGGTTGTGCCCAATGAAGTCACTGTTGTAACTGTTCTCCCTGCAGTTGGATCACTTGCTGCTTTAGATAAGGGGAAGCAAATCCATGGTTTCTCTTTCAGGCATTGCTTGAATGCTGAAACTCGTGTAAACAATGCTTTTATTGATATGTATTCTAAATGTGGGAGCTTGGTTGCAGCAAGAAAGGTTTTTAATGATGAATCATGGCTTAAAGATGCTGTTTCATGGAGTTCTATTATCTCATGCTATGGGATTCATGGCAGGGGGAGAGATGCTCTCATTTGGTTTCAGAAAATGTCCAGACTTGGGATTAAGCTGGATCATATAACTGCTGTTGCAGTTCTCTCTGCTTGTAGCCGAACGGGTTTGGTGGAAGAAGGTTTGGAGATTTACAGCTCAATGGTGAGAAATCATGGTGTTGTTCCCAGTTCTGAGATGTGTTCATGCATGGTTGATATGTTGGGCAGAGCTGGCAGGTTAGAACAAGCTTTGGATTTGGTCAGCTCGTTGAGATTTGAGCCAAGTTCGAGCATTTGGGGAGCTCTTTTCGGAGCTGCTGCGTCTCATAACAACCATGAAATTCAACATTTGGTTGGGAAGTTTCTGATTCAAATGGAACCAGAGAACCCTTCTAATTATGTTTCTCTTTCAAATTTTCATGCTTGTTTTGGAAGATGGGATTTGGTTGCAGAAGTGAGGGGAAGAATGATGATGAAAGGATTGAGAAAGACTCCTGGTTTTAGCTGGATTGATATTAATGGTAAAGCTCACTCCTTTTATGTTGCTGATAAGTCTCATTTATGCTCAACTATGATTTATGACGCATTGGACAGCCTTTCCTATGAAATAAAAGAAGTTCCCAATTTTGATAACCTTACCTCTGACTAGCTGATACTGTAAATTCATTCTTATAGGTGGAGTAAACAGTTTTGTGAGTGTTTTACACGCAAAATGATGTGAAACAAAAAAGATTTGGTTTTGCTTTTGAAAATTGTAAAAAAAGAAGATTTTTTTGTATACGCATGTTTTCAAGGAGTTACATTGCATGAAATTAGAGAAAGTTCTCTTTGTATATTGCATGCATTAAATAGATGAGGATTTTTTAAGAGAGTTTGACTTGTCTGTACCATTAAATTTTTTTCCTCCCTTTGTATGTATGAGAAATCTATTTCTCTTCACATGTTTAAATTTCTAGCAAAATGGTATCAGAGCCTCGCAAATGACGAGAATTAGAGTATTCAAATGAACGTTTTGTTTGGTTTTAAGATATTTGATAAGTAATGATAATGCTTCGAGGAGCCTCATGACGAATAGCCTTGATGATGGCCTAAAACAAAGTCACGAGTAATGTTAAAGAAAAACGGACAAGGAGACGCTCCTCTTCATCTCCTAAGGCTCAGGTTAAGTCGGATCGAGGAGTTTGCCATTGCAATTAGCTTCAATCATTTAGAGATATTTCAAATTGCTTGTACAATGTATAAAGAAGATGATGGAAGTTCGGCTGTCCAGGCCAAATTCGGAGCATTGCAAATAAAGGAAATGCATTTTTTTTGGAAGATTACTTCATTAGAGTCTTAACATTGTTGACTAATTATAAAAAAATGGTGAAAAGTTTCAGCATTTTTAAGTGGCTAAAAAATAGAAATCTATTTTCATGATAAAAAAAATTGAATATGTTGTCGTAGTCATTGAAGAATCAAATGACTTAATACTCGATTGCAAATGTTTATGTTCCGCTAGTGCATTATGTTAGTGATATGCACGTATGACGAATGTTCTTAGAACTCGAGGCCAAGTTTATAAATTACTTTTGCTTTGCTCTATTTTCGATTGATTTTTTGTTTATGTCGCTCTGTTGAATATTTGTTATGATGCTATGAACGTGCTCGCATTTATTTATCAAGATTTATAGAACATTTGAAATATGAAATGATAATTACGCGTTTTAGCATCGACTAAATGAAAAAAATTGCAAAGAAGAATCTCAAGAAGTAGTTAAAGATAAGAAGAAAAGTCTTGTAAAACAAGTCTTAACAATAATGAAAATGATAATCTCAAGCATGAATTAATTGACTTAAATGGAGAGTTTGTTATGTGTTCTATTTTTAGGGTTTAAAATGATAAAACATGAAATTATATATACTTTCTTGTATGATAATTATTTATAAAAAATTTTTAATTTTTAATTTTGAAAGTATTTTTCATACTAATTAATATTAAATATAATAATATTTTTATGAAAGTATTTGAGTTTAATATAAAATAATATAAAGTGGTATTTATATTCATAACACCCAATTCTCAAATATTTACACATCTAACTCTTAAATTTTAATTTTTTTACTCAAATATTTCATTTCACATAAAAAAATATTACTATTTTAACTTTTACAATGTGAAATACGCATTTTCCTACATAAATGACATATATGTAAAAAATGAAGTTTAGTTGCGAGGTATGTAAATACAACAGAATTGAGTGTTATTTATGTAATTATTCATATTATTAAAGTACATATTATTCCTATAAATTTACTATTTTTGTGTGAATTTATACATATGGAAGATTTAAATGCATATCACTTAAGACATATCTAACACCTAAGCTTCAAATTTACATATTTGCCACCTTTGGATGTATGAAAAGTTGCATTTCACAATCTAAAATTGAATTAGTGATGTTTTTTATGTGATATGAAAGATTTGAGAGCTATAGATCTAAAAATCAAAATTTAGCTGATTGATATGTAAATACATAAGAATTAGGTGGTATTTATGTAAATGCCCCTCTATATATAATGTATAATGGGCGGGAGTTGCTGAAAGTGTTAAAACTGGCATTCTGTAAGTTACCAGTTTAGATGGATGTTCAGCCCAGCAGGCGTCCAAGAAGAAAACCACTGTGCGATCTCACCAATGCTTCGCCTCTTTCCTCTCCGGCCACGGCATACAAATCCAAGCTCAGACCAAGATCCTCGGCGGTCAGCTACTTCTCCGATCACTCCGATGAACCCGTTGTCTCTGCTAGTTGTAACGACACTGCTGGTTCAACTGCTCACGCAAACCCTATTTCTGGAAATGCACACAGGTCCTCTCAGATAGGCTTGCAGATCAGCTCTAGTTCTGGTAGATTCAGTTCTGTCTCTCTAGATCCTTGTTATGATATTCATTGAATGCGCTTTGTTGTTACTGATGAAGATATTGAATGGGGTTTCTCTCTAAGTGTCCGATTGGTTTTTGCACGCGATGTATTGGGCAGGTTTTTATGGGTATTTTGATTTGTTGATTTTAGGCGTGGTATTTTTTTTAGTTTTTTTTTTTCTTATTTGGATTTTGCTTAACGAAACTATCACAGAAATTCAATTGACTGTCTCGTAAAATAATTTTAATAAGCGTATCATGTGAAGTAAGTTATAAATTACACGGCGATCAGCATTAGAAATTTTGGGGCTATTTGGTTGCCAACTTTACGATGGATTTACCATAAATCTTGCTAAACTGTCAAATGCGTCAGAATAAATCTTAAAGATTTTTAAATCCCATTTCAACTATGTTTCAGCCCAAGGCCCTAAATCTAGATATACTGAATTCGATAGTTTGGCGGATTTACCAGACTTACATGAATAGAGTGCGCCAAAAAGGGGAGAAAAATGAGGGTTATGCTCATTAGCATGCTCCTGTTGTGACTTTGTTTTCGTTGATGGCTTCATGTGGGCACGGGAGAGTGGATAAAGACGATGGTTTAACAATCATTGTCCTCATTGCTTTATTGTTGAGGGTTTCATGAATTTGGGTCGGAGGGGAACTAGGGCAAGGTTTAATTAATAATTAAAACTAATTTGTATAATTTGTTAGCATATAATTAATAAGCAATCAATTTTAGTATCTATGTTTCCATTTGATTGCATTAAAATTATTACTGGTAATAATTTAAAAAACTATGAAGTAATAGTTAGTTAGAATATTATCATAACTAAGATTTAATAGAGTTTTAACAATGATGTAAGGTGCGACGAACAAGGTCTGAAGTGAATGCCAATTGATGTAGAGCGAATATGGAAGGAGGATATTAGCGTCAAGAGATAATGAATGTTGACAACAAATAACAATGGATGTCGAGTTCAACCAACAATTGATGGATGGGAAATAATGAATGTAAGCATCAGCCAACTTCAAATGATGATAAGTGTTGGGTTCTGTAACAATAAGGAATTACAAACGAGCGAATGCGACATTATTGTTAGTGATGTTGGGTGAAGACGCAGGTGTCAGTTGACAAAGAATGGTAGTGTTACTCAGTAAACTTATGGAATTCTCTTTTTGCCTTAGGCTTCTCCCAGTCAGCATCATTCAAGACCTATTAATATATTTCTGGAGCAATATTCTAATAATTTTTATCATACTGTAGAACATGCCATCAAATTGTTTGGAGAGATCTTGCTTGATCATTTGATGTTTCTTGAACATCACAGCGCCTTAATGATATGAGGTTATTGGGCTTGTTACATTTATTTAATAAACATGCTTGGTTCAACTTTAAACATGCTGGATTCTAAGGGATTTTAACCCTCTAAATGGTCTTGATAAGTTTCTATGATACTCTTATACTTAATTTAAGTTTGTTTGGATTTAGATCATATCATTCTTCAGTCTATTTGATTTGTCTCACTGAACTAGGCATTAAAATTTGTTCAAACTGGAATTTAGATGATCACAAAATCAATTTTGAAAGTTTCCAGATCAAATAAATAGATGCCATGAGATCTGAAATTGCGCCAAGATCTATGCTGAATTAAATTAATTTTTTGCCTGCATATCAAGACTATATTCTTTCATGTTTCAATATGTTAGATCCTATATTTTTAAAGGAAAAGCTGCCATGGCGGTGCCAAGGCATAGAGCTGTCTAACCAAAAGACAATAAATGATGCCTGATGCTCATACTTATCTGAAGAACTTAACAATCAAGGAAGAACTGCTTTCACAAATAATATTAACTATAAATGTTAACTAAACATATTTAGTCTTTCCTGATGTGTAAAAAACTAAGAATTAGAACAGAACCATGATTCATTAGATGAACGTTTGCCAAAAAATTAAGATAATTAAGAACACAAAGACATGTATGATAACTTATAACCCGAGGAGTTAAGAGAGTTATTCTTCTACGTTGTCTTACCTGTTTATGAATGAAAGTGGAATGCAATTTTGTTTCATAAAAGAAGGATCTCAAGAATCCTTGTCACTCTAGATACCACGCAAGTAATAGCATAGTTATAAATAAATCAATTACCATATCAACCTTTTAAATTGAACAATAGACAATAACGAGAAAAGGTTAAAAAAGAAAAAAAAAAAGTGGGTAAAGCAATAAAGATGAGATCAACAAGCATCCTTCATAGTTTGACACAATTTCAATATTCTTCTCGATATCTTGAGTTTTGTATTGAGAATGATTTTACAATAATCATCTTGTTCATTTCATTAACATTTTAGCTTATATAGAGCCACACAACATTTACAAGTAAATCCCTAGAATTCTTCTATTTACAACTAGAATTCTACATTAGATATAAATCTCAACACTCTCCCCTCAAGGTGGGTAAAAGATATTCACTAAACCCATCTTGTCACATAGTCTAATTAACTCCACTTAGCTAATTCATTTAGTGAGGCAGTCATCCACCTGCTCTACATGACTTAGTTCTAACAATCCAGTATTCAACTTCTCTTTGATGAAGAATCTATAAATCTCCACATG